GGGACCGGCACCCGCACACACTGACACCGCCACCGGCACCCGCACACACTGACACCGCCACCGGCACCCGCACACACTGACACCGACACCGGCACCGGCACCGGCAGCAGGACCGGCACCGGCACCGGCACACACCGACACCGGCACCCGCACACACTGACACCGACACCGGCACCCGCACACACTGACACTGACACCGGCACCGGCACCGGCAGCAGGACCGGCACCGGCACACACCGACACCGGCACCAGCACCGGCAGCAGGACCGGCACCGGCACCGGCACACACCGACACCGCCACCGGCACCCGCACACACTGACACCGCCACCGGCACCCGCACACACTGACACCGGCACCGGCACCCGCACACACTGACACCACCACCGGCACTGGCACACACCGCCACCGGCAGCAGGACCGGCACCGGCACCCGCACACACTGACACCGGCACCCACACGCACTGACACCACCACCGGCACCGGCACACACCGACACCGGCACCCGCACACACTGACACCGGCACCGCCACCGGCGCCGGCAGCGGCACCGGCACCCGCACACACTGACACCGCCACCGGCACCCATACACACACTGACACCGGCACCGCCACCGGCACTCTCACACACCGGGACCGGGACCCCACTGGCACCGGGACCCCACCGGCGCCGGGACTCGCTCCCAACATCACTCGCACCTGCCCCGGTGCCGGCACCGATACTCTCACAGCGGTACCGGCACCGGCAACATCCACACCCATCCGCAGCCGCCGGCACCGGCATCCGCACACACCGGTACCAGCAGCAACACCCGCACACACCGGCACATCCACATCATCCCCAGCCACCGGCCCCGGCACCGACACCGGCACACACCGGTACCGGCACCGGGCACCCAGCGGCTCAGCCGAGCAGCCCAGCCCCGCAGAGGCGGGGGCACCCCGGGGTGCCTGGGTGGGGGTCTCCGTGCCCCAGCAGTACATGGGGGTCCCACCCCCAGCAGTGTCCCGGGTTGTCCCGGGGTGTCCCAGGGGTCCCGGGGGGTCCTGAGGGCTCCCCGGGGGTCCTGGTGTGTCCTGGGGGGTCCCGGGCGGTCCCGGGCGGTCCCGGGGGGTCCCGGGGGTCCCACCCCCAGCAGTGCCCCCATGGCCAGTGCAGCACTGGGGGGGCTGGGGGGCACAGGGGTGAGGGGGGGGCTCACAGCCGGGGGGACAGGCCGGAGGTGCCGGTCCGAACGGAGCCCCCCCCCAGAACCGGGGGCTTCCAGGGGGCAGAGAGGACTGGGGGGGTCTACTGGGGACTGGGGGGGTCTACTGGGGACTGGGGAAGATCTATTGGGGATTGGGGGGGTCTATTCAGGACTGGGGGGGTCTATTGCCCTCCCCGGGGTTCCAGGGGGGTCCCGGTATCTTGGGCACACAGAGATCCAGCTGGGGAGGGGGCAACGGGGGGGCAACAGAGGGGCCGGGGTCACCCGGGACGGGCTGGGGGCTGGGTGAAGGGGGGCAGGATGGACGGGGGGCACTCAGGGACGGGGCAGGAGGGGAAGGAGCTGCAGGGGGAGCCAGGAAAGCGAGAGGAGGCTGCAGGACTGGGGGGGCCCTGGGGTGGTACCCCCTGCCCCCCGTGCCCCCCCCGCGCACCTGTTTGTGAACCTTTGTAAGCTGCTCCAGGTTGTTCTCAAGAAAGGAAATCTTCTGCTTCTGGGAGTGGAGCCCCCCACTGTCCTCGGGTTCCAGCTCTGCGCTCTGGGGGCACGGGGACCCCCGCTGGAATCAGATCCCCCCCGGGAAACACTTCCCTTCCCTTCCCTTCCCTTCCCTTCCCTTCCCTTCCCTTCCCTTCCCTTCCCTCCCCTTCCCTCCCCTTCCCTTCCCTTCCCTTCCCTCCCCTTCCCTCCCCTTCCCTTC